GAACTGGCCCCTGAAAGCAGATATTAGGAGCCTTGAATTGACGAGAAGAAATTTGGACAAGAGGGAAGAAGATGGCAGGAGTGAAAGTTCTGTCATTTTAGGCATTTACCTCCCTCCTCCCAATTAGAGGGAAAACATAAGTTGCATTTGCCAGGCTCTTTAGTTATGCAAAACATAGACAAGCTGCCCTGGCCGGTTTGCTCAGTGGTTAGAGCGTCAGCCCATGGACTGAAGGGTCTTGGGTTCGATTCCAGCCCATGTACCTGGATTGCAGGCTCAGTGCCCTGGGTATGTGCAGGAGGTGACCAATTGATGTGTCTCTCTCACATCGATGTTTCTCATGTTTCTCTCTTTCTCTCCCTTCCACTCTCTCTGAAAAGTAATGGAAAAAATATCCTCTGGTGAGGATTAAACAACAACAACAAAAAGACAAGCCAAGGTCACCTTCACCAAAGGGGGGGGAATCTACTGGAAATCTACTTGGGAGCGTAGGCAGGGGAATAAAGACCTGGTGACCTCAGGCCCAGAGGCTCTCAGGCCATGGCCTCCCCGCAATGGGCAGGTCCTCGGGGAGAGGTGGAACAGGGAACCAACTCTGGTGACCCACTGTTCCTCTGTTCAGCTTGCTTTGCCAGGATGCAATGTGCTGCTCTCACGGGCAGCTTCCCTTCAGAGGTGACCTCCTCTAGCACATTGCTCGCTGTCTCCCCAAATGCGTCCTCCCCAAATGTGTGGTGGCAGAGCTCTAGCCTTGCACGCGGACAAACTAGAGACCGCACTTCCCCGCCTCCCACGTAGTCAAGTTTTTGCTGATGGAACCTGAATGCAAGAGTCCGGCGGGTTTCCATGTCTCTACTTGTCCCTGTTCCTTCTTCATTCCACTTTCTGGGGCCTGGGAGGCCCCCTCTTTCAGCGCTGAGGACAAGGACAGTTAGCTCTCGGTGCGGCAGAGCCAGATGGAGGAAGCCTGCGGCCGGAGGGACGCGATGAGCAGCTCTACGGGCCAAGGCCAGCCTTGCCGCCCCCTGGCTGCTTACACGGAGGCTTTTATTTGAGAGAGAAGTAAACGCCTCTTATTTAAGTCTTTGTGTTTTGGGGTTCTCTTTATCACAGCAGTTTAGGTTAAAGTCTGATAAGCAGGTGTCCCAGGTGTTGCCTTTGGCTCCAGTGTTGATTTCTGGTAAGTATATTAGTTAGACACGGGTTTGGCTGTTATGACAAGGCCACAACAGTTTCAGAAACGACCTGAGCACAAGCAGTCCTGTGTTCAGGTGGCCCTGCAGGTTCCTGGGCAGGGCTTCTTTACCTTTGCCGCTTTGTCATTGTGAACGTGTGACTTCCACCTTGTGGCCTAGGGAGGCATTCCAGCCGGCGGGAAGGGGAGGAGAGAAGGCGAGGAGCCCAGCCCTTCCTTAGGGGCACACACGGTGGACTCGGTGAACAAAGGGAGCTTTATTCCTTACGGAAGAAGGAGGAATGGGCTCTGACACACTCGGCCGAGTGCACTCAACTCAACAAATATTGGAAGAAACTCAGGAAAGAAAGGTCCTTTCTTTTAAAGACATTGTTAGATATAAATTGGGAAGATAAATTAGTCGGCTTGAGTTGCCAAAGCAAAATGGCACAGACGAGTCAGCTTGAACACCAGCCACTTATTTCTCACAGTTCTGGAGGCTGGGAGTCCGAGGACAAGGCGCCAGCATGGGCAGTTTCTGGTGAAGGCTTTTCTTGGCTCACAGATGGCCATCCTCAGGTGGCCTTTCCTCTGGGACACATGAGGGCGGGCAGGCGGGAGGCAGGGAGAGAGGGGGAGAGAGAGAGATCAGATCAGGACCTCGTTTAACCTTGATTCCCTCTTTATAGGCTCAATAATCTCCAAATATAGTCACATGGTGGGTTAGGGCTTCATGTATGAATTTTGAGGGGATGCAAAACAGTCTATAGCAGTGGCTTGGAGAGGCACCCAGAATTCAGTAGCTTGAGAGTCCAGTCAGGTGAGGATTTATTGCGCCGGGTAGCAGACAAGCCCCAGATCTCGGCTACCATAGTAGTTTGTAGTATATGGCCACAAATGTCTCCTTTTCAGGTGTGCATGCCTCTTTGCAATGTGACTTCGCCACACCTCCCATCAAGAGGTCAAGTGTCCCCCACCTATAAATCTGGGTTGGCCTCGTGATTTGCTGTGGACCAACAGAACATGGTAGGAGTGATGTTATGTGACTTCTGAGGATAGATGTCACCAGCCCTTGCTGCTCATGCTAGGGTTGGAAGGCTGCTCTGAAAGCCACACTGGGAGGGGCTTGGGTGAGAGGCCAC